GGTGAGCCCCAGGCCTCTAGTGTCAGCTCCGGCCCCAGCATGGCCGGCTATAGGTGAGCCCCAGGCCTCTAGTGTCAGCTCAGCCCCAGCATGGCCGGCCATGGGTGAGCCCCAGGCCTCTAGTGTCAGCTCCAGCCCCAGCATGGCCGGCCATGGGTGAGCCCCAGGCCTCTAGACCTATTTTCAGAAAAACCTGTCAGCGCATGTCCAGGAATGAACACCCCCAGCTCCTGTGTCAGGAAACTCTGCCTCCCAAATTGGGTCGCCACCTTGTCTCTCAAGACTGTGAAAGCTGGGGGATTCCCGGGCACTTGTGAGCTGCCTGGCAGGCTCAGCATGACAAGAGAGAGGCAAAGAGCCACACTGGGTCCAACCTTCTCCTCAGTGAAATGACTAGGCTATGTGGAGCTTTAGACACAGTGAACAGGGCCAGCAACAACAGCTGGGGCCAGGAACAACTGTCACATGGCCACTGCTCACTGCTGCCCCAACCCATTGCCCTCCGGCTCCTTACCTTTCTCTGGATGGGCGTTGGCACCTTGTAGCCCTTTTTCATGATCCCCTTGAACACAGGGTAGCTCAAGCCTGGGAGAGACATAGGAGTGGTCAGGGACCTGGGGGCCACAGCAGCCACCAGATCGTGTTCACCAATACACAGGAAAAAAAAAAAAGAAAGAAAGAAAAAAGAAAAAAGAAAAAAAAAAAGAAAGTAAAAAATTGAAGGTTAAAGGAGTGAAAGACACCAAACTGTGGCAGGGATGCCTCACTTAACCTCTGCTGGAATTCTCTCTTTTTTATTTTTCTGTCCAAGATATGTACCCTACACTGACTTGAATTTATGGTGTCTGCCTCTGAGTGCTGGAATCACAGGCATGTGCCACTCTGATAGGTGTGGTAGGAATGTTGGGAAATGGAGTCAGGACAGGTAGGAGAGTGGCCCCTGGGGACTTAACAGACGTGGACTAAAGATCTGGGAGTCAGCAGAGGGCTGCCTAGAGACCAGCAAACAACTTCAAGTGCTTTTTGGTCAACCCTTCATCTTCATCACGCCTACGTGTATGTCACTGCTCCATCCCCCTGATTATCAACAAGAGCTAGCACTTCACTTTAAATCCAAACAGCCATCTAGAAGGCTTTTATGAGCCAACTATTCAGTCTCTGCAATCCATTCTTTCTGACTTGTTCTTTACTTACTGATTTGTAAGAACTCTTTGCATATTGTAGATGACAACCTTCTATCTGCCCCAGAGGCTGCAGATATTTTTGCTCTGTTGTGAGAAAAGGTCTCTTGCTATGCAGTCATGGCATAGGCCACTATGCTCAGCCCCTTTCTAATTGCTATTAAAAGTCACTCAGTCCCTGCCCTGGCAGCTACTGCTCCATCAAGGACAAAGCACTTAAGCTGTAATCCCCACAGGTGTCCTGACATCTCGTGCCCATCCTCCTATGCCTGTATGGGTGGCCCCCTTTCCAGGCCTACTGTGGAAGACTATTTCTAACCTCAGCCTATTTGACACCTACCACACAGGTAGATGTCAGTACCTAATAACAGAGGGCACAATGACCCCACCCCCAGGCTACTCCCCAGGGCCCCAGGTACCCAGCCTCTTTACCCACCCATGGACTGGAAGCCGCCAGACTTCTTCTTTTTCTTGTTCTGGGCTCGTACCAAATCCCGGGTGTCAGGCTCCACATCTGATAAGCACTCTGAGGTAGGAAAGGAGGGCAGGGCTCTGCCAGGGCCCAGCTGCGAGGGAGGAATGAGAATTGGCATTACTCCAGCTCTGATTGACCACAAGGGTGCAAGGCCCAGACGCTCGCCAGTTCTCCAACAAGCTCTCCTTGGACTAGGCTGGGCAGATCGGGTCTACAGAAAATCTACAGCGCTTGCAAGCTCCATCCCCTACCAGCAGTACAACCACCTCCCTGAACCTGGGGGCACCCTTCTAAAACCTTAGGTCAAGGGCGTGGGTGTGGCAAGACCCAGTGCAAAGTACAGGCTTGGCCAGGAGAGATGCTGAAGGCAGAGGGTGCGTGTGTGTGTGCGTTTATATGTGTGTGTGGCTGTAGTAGCTTGAGTGTGACTGAGGAGTAGCCACGGCACCTGGCTGTCCTGGAACTCAGAAAGCCCCACCTATCTCTGTCTCCTGAGTGCTAGCATCAAAGGCATACAGCACTATGCTTGGATCTCACTTCCAATTTCTGATTAATTTTTTTAAATAACAATTTATCTCTTTTTCTATTCCTTATAAAACTTTTTATGTCACTGGTTAAGACCCCTTCCTTGTCTCCCCCAAATGTTTTTGTTATTCTGGTGGTGCCGAGAACGGAACCCTTGACCATCGAACAACACCCCAGCCCTCTTCTTACTCTTTATTTTTGAGACAAGGTCTCACTAAGTTACACAGGCTAGCCTTGCATGTAGCCCAGGCTGGCCTTGAACTCGTGATCCTACTGACTCAGTTTCCTAAATAGCCGGAATTACAGGCCTGTATCATCAATCAGGCTTGACTTATTTCTACTCCTTCTCATTTTCATCTTGAATCTTATTTCATCTGTTCAATTTTATCATTTCAGGAGAATTCTAAGCCTACTGTCACATAGCTATAAATATGAGACGAACCCATATTCCATGACTAAATACCAGAGATTTGGTGGCAGAAGACAAACACAGGTATTTATGATGCTACACTTGGTGGCTACTACACTGAACAACACAGACATAAACCATTTTCTTCAACAGAGTTCTCACGGGACAAATGCTACCTATGTTCTAATTATACATTTTATCATCAGTGTATGTGTGCATGATACATGCCATGGGTGTGAAGGCCACGGCCAACTTTCAGGAGTCTGCTCCCTCCCCACCCTGATGAAGCAGGGTCTCTCATTTCTGCTGGTCGTGCATTCCTGGGTAGCTGGCCTGTGTGCTTCTCAGTGGCTCTCGTGTCTCCACCTTCTGACTCACCTGTTGGGATTACATGTGTGCCACATGTCCAGCTTTTTAAATGTATTGGTGTTTTGCCTGCATAGACTATGTGCACCAATTGCTTCTCAGCCTTTTGGCTAAGATCAAGTGTAGATTATGTGCACCATGTGCATGCAGTACCCAAGGAGACCAGAAGAGGGTGTCATGTCCTTTGGAAATGAGGGAATTGAATCCCAATCTGCTGAAAGATCAGCCAATGTTAACCAATGAACCATCTCTTTGTCCCTACATAAAACCTGGTTCCACAGTGAATCCAAGGTTACTCAGGGCTGCACAAGATCCTGTCTAACACTTCAGTACGATGGATGGTGGTGGTGCACGCCTTTAATCCCAGCACTTGGGAGGTAGAGGCAGGAGTTCAAGGCCAGCCTGAACTACATAGTGAAACCCTGTCTCAAAACAAAACACAGCAAATAAATAAATAAATAAATATAAAAACTTAACATAAGGCAAAAAATTTTCCTGATAATTGCTAAACTTTGCTTGTTGGAATTTTTCTTACTAGTTCAGGCATTCCGCTTGGGGTTCTCCCTGCTTTGTTTGAAGACGATGCCAAAACTCCATGAAAGAGACCCGGGGACACAGCTTTCTGACAGAGTACATACAAGGTTAGCACTAGCACAAACAGGGCTTCAGGTTTGGTCTCCAACCCTGCTAAAACAAAAGGTGGGGATGGAGGAACGAAGAGACTTTCCCCATTGATTTCCAAGTTGACGGACTCTGCTTCCCATGCAGTATTCTGGTTTCATTTCACTGCACAAACACATTGAGTTTGTTTGTTTGTTTGTTTTTGAGGGGGGGTTAGTTTGAACAAGCTCAATGGTATAGTAAGGACTTGACTGCTCTCCCAGCCCTATTTACATCAAGGGTGTGACAGAGCTTTAATGAGTAAGTATGTTTGTGTCCCAGGATGGAGGACCTGGGACACGTTTTTTACGTTTTTTGTAAAGTAAAATTTCAGGATTAGAGCTCTTACCAGCTCACTATACGTAGCCAAGGGTGGCCTTGAACTCCTGATCCTCTTGCCTCCACCATTCCTACCCATGGTGCTAGGATGACAGGTGTGTGCCCCAATACCTGCTTTTATGTCGTGATGGGGCTCAAATAAAGCACTTTGGACATGCTAAGCAAGCGTTCTACCAACTGAGCTACGTCCGGAACCTGCAGACTGGGTTTTGATTTGTAAAAAGTTGAGCAGTAACTTCTTTTTTTATGTACCACAGCCAGTGCAGGACTTGGCCTCAGCAAAGCCCTTAATCCTAGCCACGTGGGCAGCCTTCTCTGGCAACGACTAACTGCGTTCTCAACGCCTTTAGCAGTTTCTGTACATCTAGTGACCACCTACTAAGTGTAGCGCACTGACTGAGTTGGGGAGGAGAAATGGAGGAATATACCCGCTGTGCACAAACTACGGGCATCACGAACCATAGACTTTTCTGTCTCCTTGGCGCTCACGCCTCTCTCCACGTGCACACATTTGTAACCAGACCATCCTGCTGTCCCTTCTGAGAGTGCTGAATGGGCCTGCAAGGCTGAACCACGACAGATGTCCGTAAGTGTTAGTTTAGTTTACAGCCAGCTTCTCAGAGTTCTGGTCCGCGGGCCTCTCGTTTATCTTATCTCCTAAGACCACCCCTAAATTAGGCGGACCTTCGCACTTGCACTTTCCATTGGCCGAAGAGTAATTGGGCCCCGCCCCCTCTGGACGGCACCCAATGAGGGCTCACAATCAGTGAGACGGACAGGCGGAAGGGCACAGGCCGAAGACCCGACCAGAGAATCTGCGCTCTTACCTTCCGCGCCCGAGCGTCATCCTCAGCCTGGATCTCAAACTCGCCGTCCTCCGAGTCGCTGTCGCGTGCCTGGGAAGCCCCAGTCCGGCGCCTCCTCAGTCCCTTCTTCTTCCACGGAGCCATGGCGGCACGTGACCGCGGACCGGGACCCACGCGTCTACCGGCAGCCATGCGAGCCGGGCACTCGGACCCGGAAGTGGGTGGGACCTACAGGACGCACACACTGCGCGGGGGCGGACGCGCGGGTAGCGTTGTGATTAGGCTCCACCCCTAGGGCGGGGCCTGAGGGATCAACCAATTGCGTGAGGAACCGAACGTCAACGTGGCTACTCCGATGGGGCGGGGCCTGAGGGACAGACCAACTAGTTGGGGGAAGATCTGAGGAATGTACCAACTGAACGGGAATAGAGGCTCAAAGGACGTAATTACTGTGCAAATATCAAGCTCTAAGGGATGTACCAACTGTATTGGGAGCCGAGTCCGAGGGACACAACAGCTGAGCGGGTGGAAGGATTTGAGGAATGTACCAACTATGCAGGGTTCAACTCCCCCGAGAGGCGGGCCTAAGGAGGATACCAACAAGATGGGGGTGTGGCCTGCGGAACGTACCATCTGCGCGGGGGCGGGGCCGAGCGACGTACCAGCTGCGCAGGGGCGGGCCATCTCTCCTGTTGCCCAGCGCGGGATGCGCGTGGGCGCGTGTCGCTGTGGCGCCACTGCGCTTGCTGTGCTGTGCTGTGTTGTGCTGTGCTGTGCTGTGCTGTGCTGTGCTGTGCTGTGCTGTGCGGGGGTTTGTGCCGGAGCCAGAGCTTGCTGACCAGAGGCCCCGGTAGGAAAATTGCCGAGCACAGCACAGAGTTCCGGTGATGCTTGCGCTTTCAGCTTCGTTGGGTGACTGGTGCGCGGTACTCCTCTGTTTGGAGCCTGAGTTGTGGTCGGGAAAATGGATTTAATCTGAAGAGACTGAACAGGACTAGAACACACTACATTTGCAACGTGCTTTGCACAGGGTAGGCGTGGGAGCGACAGCGGCTTGGGAGCCCCCTTTTCCCCCCTCCCACCATAGTTTGTTTTTCTGGTTGGTGCCATCCCCATTTACACCCGTCGTCGTGCTGTAAATATTTGTTGAGTATACACTGTAGGCTAAAAGTGTGTATCTGTTTATTCATTAAATATTTGCTGACGGCATTTTCCCCTGTCTTGTCAACTAGAAAGACAGGAGTGTCTGCTTAGACTGCAGCTTGCACAGACCACGGGATTCAAACTCAGAGGCCAGGCAATCGTGCAGTTCTACCTGGGAAGTAGAGGGAGGAATTAGAGTTAAAGGTCATTCTTTGCTATAGAACATTGTGAGTTCCAGGCCAGTTTGAGCTACAAGAAACCCTGGATGGGGGAGGGGCTATAAAGTGATTCATTTGCAAGATGCCCCCCCCACCCAATGGTGGTCTCCCTTTGAGAAAGACCAGTCCCTTTCCCTCAGCAGGAAAAGGCCCTTTTGCCCTTGGGTTTGAGACTCCAGGTTGCCTCTGTTGTTAACTGGCCCTGCTGTTTGCTCTCACCGTTTGCACAGGGAGCCCACCCTCTGTCACCCTTGGCCACTGACAGCAGTGAGGATCGTGGTGGAACTGGCCCACAGAGGAATGCAGGCACTCCACCTTCAACACCGCAGTCCCGGCAGCTACAGGGTCAAGGCCAGGGCGTCCTATGTGGATGAGACCCTGTTTGGCAGCCCTACAGGAACCCGGCCCACTCCACCAGCCTTTGACCCACCCTGGGTGCAGAACTGTGACAGATCGAGAGGAGTGGGCCCAGGACCACCGAAGGTCTCTCTGGTCAAGAGAGACTGTGAGTCTACCCCCTCCAGGGGCAGCACCCCAAACCTCACACCAAGGAAGAGAAACAAATACAGGTAACAGGGTGGAGGTATGCTCCTGTACTAATGATGGCTTTCTTGGTCTCTTTTGTTGTGACAAAATACTCCCTGCAGAAGCAACTTAGGCCAGAAGGGGTTTGTTGTGGTCGTGGTTGCACAGTTGTTGCTATAAGAAGTCACAGCAGTGAGGGCTGGGGCCAGCAGGCCACATGCATGCCTGCTCCACTGCACACTGTCTTCCTTTCCTTCGGTCCCAGAGCACCTCACCCCCTCTTCTGACACTCCAGGCACACACATGTGATGCATAGACTTTCGTGCACGTAAGACACTAGTACTAAGAGGAAGATGTGTCGTAGGAACACCCACGGGGCAACCTGACTTAGGCATCCGTCTCTGCCGCTCTCTGCCAAGTTGACAACTGAAGCTGACCATCAGAGCCATTGGGCTCCCTGGTACAGCCTGGCTGTTTACCTGCTGTGTGGCTGTGGGCAGCACCTTGACTTCTCTGAGCCAGTTTACTCAGAAAATAGAACGATGCTCCCATTAAATGGGAGTGGGGAATATTGGGGCACAACGGCTGAATGCTGCCATCGATGTCTTGATCATTGGTGGTGTTGTCTGGTGAATGACTCAGTGGGTGAAGGCTCCTGTCTCAGAAGCCTGGTGACCTGTGATTGCTGGAACCTTCATGAAGGTGGAAGGACAGAATGACTCCACAGTGTCGTCCTCTGACCTCCATATGGTGCCACGGTCTGACCATGCCCACATATCCACATCATGCGCACATAGTAATAATAAGTTTAAAATCCTTTTTTAAAAAAATACTTATTTATTTATTATGTATACAGTATTCTGTCTGCTTGTATGCCTGCAGGCCAGAAGAGGGCACCAGATGTCATTACAGATGGTTGTGAGCCACCATGTAATTGCTGGGAATTGAACTCTGGACCTTTGGAAGAGCAGACAATGCTTTTAACCACTGAGCCATCTCTCCAGCCCCCTAAAATACTTTTAAAGGAAATTCTTGGAGGGGGCGGAACTTCAGGCCAAAAAAACAATTGTATCTCTGCTGAGCTCACGTAGAGTTTTTTGAAAGGTACGTTTGTATTTGGTGATTTTTGTGTGTGAGGCTTGTGTACTGGTGGAGGTCAAAGGACAACTTGTAGGAGTCCGTTCTTTCCTTTTACCACGTGGATCCTGAGGATTGAACTCGGCCACAAGCATCCATACCCGCAGAACCGTCTTGCTGACCCAAGCTCCTGTAGAGTTTTGTTTTTCCTAAACAACAGCATGACGACTGTTTGCGTGGCACTTAATGGACTTAATTACTCCATTAATCTGGAGCAGGGTAGATGCAGGAGGGTGTCTGTCATTTGATGCACAAGATTTGAACATGTACGGGTATTCATAAGGGCTTCTGGAGCGGCTGTAGTTAGGACTCTTGATGGTAGGCTCATATGAGGGGCCCTTTTAGGACTGCTCCCTTCTCCAACATGTCTGTGTTTAGAAGAAGAGGGAGACAAGCCCCAGCTGTTTTGGGCTAATGCCTATTGATGCCTATGAGCCTATTGAAGAGTGTCAGGGTCCAAGGGTGCCATGCAGACTCCGGATACCTAAGAGCCTATTGAACAATGCCGGGCTCCGAGAGTGCCAGGCAGGCTATGGATACCTATGAGCCTATTAAAGCATGTCGGACCCCCGACAATGCCAGGCAGGCTCGGGATGCCTATAGAATGTCAGGGCCCTTAGGGTGCCGGGCAGGCTCTGGCTGTTTCCATAGCTGGTGGGAAGTGGGGTTATAGAGAGCTCTAGTGTGCCATCCCAGGTCACTGTGTTCTTCTCTTTTCTAGGTTGATTGGCCACACCCCCTCCTACTGTGATGAGTCCCTGTTTGGCTCCCGGCCACAGGGCACCAACAAGGAGGGGTCTCAGACAGCCATAGGGGATACTGCCAAGCTCTGGACCCTTTTCTGGACACCACCAGCCACCCCTAGGGGCGGCCACTCACCTCGCCCCAGGGAGACCCCACTTCGAGCCATTCACCCAGATGGACCCTCCAAGACAGAGCCCAGCGTGGCAACAGGCTCCCAGAAGATGTCCCAGGAGGGGTTAGATGCACCTTCCTCTCTGGGACGGAGACGTTCCCATTCACTCGCCCACCTAAGTGTCCCCAGCATGAGCCATCCTGCTTCCAGTGTCCCCCAGGCCAATGGACCTCGGAGTCCCCGACCTTCCACATCAGGGATGACTGTTCGGAGTCCCTTGGTCACTCCCAGGTCACGGTCAGGCAGAGTTTCAGAGCCAGCTGCCCCTCAACAAGGGGCCGGCCCCCCCAAGCCAAAGCCTCCTTGGAAATGAGGCTCTCATCAGGTAACCCTCTGGCTCACAGCAAGGATTCAGCTCAGGTGCAGTACTATGGGGACCAGTGTCTCCAGTGCCTCCAAGCACTAGAAAAGCCTCCTGAGGCTCCATGGTGAGGATGGGCTATGCTTCCCTTTGTCCCCACAAGCTCAGGACTCCCTAGCCGCCTGTGCGGGGTATTTGGGATCCTTTGAGATATCTCTCTGGCCATGGCGCAGCCTCTTTCTGCATTGGTGCCAAACCCCACCCAGCTCCCTGCTCAGGATTCAGTTTCTACAGGGGTCTGGGTGCCTCGAGAGAGTTTCCTGGGCTGCATGTGAACCCTGAGGGTGGAACATGGGGGAGACATTTTAATATTCATGTATTTATTCATTCCATGTACTAAATGTATTTAGCTCATCAAAGCTTAGTGGTGTGTTGCTTTTTCCCCCCTTAAGTAAAGGCCTCAGTCAATTTAAACAGTAGAGTTAAACAACCAAGGGTGATTTGAGCATGTGGCATATATGACAGTGGCTGCTGAGGTCTGAGGACATCTGTCCTGTCTGTTCTGTGACACCATACATGGGTGGGTGGGTGGGTGGTTCCTGCCAGCTCAGGACACAGTGAGAGTCCTTTGCTAACAATTGTCTTGCTAGGGGGGACGGGGATGTAGCTTGGTAGTAGGATGTTTGCCTCACATACATGAATGGAGCCCTGGGATCAGTCCCCAGCAGCCTCCTCCCTCAACAAAACAGAACAGGACTTAGTGATGAGCAAGCTGGAAAAGGCAGCCAGGGACAGGGAGCCTGGCTGCTGGGTGTGCTGCAGTGGGGCCCTGAGCCTCAGAGCTTCCCTGCGTGATGACAATGGGAGTCTTGAGCCTCTCCTGGTCCCCCTCCTTCTCTGAGCATTTCAGGGAGCCCAGGGTGCACCTCACCATTGTCTAGGTGTAGCCAGACCCAGGGACATTTGTAATCATGTGCAGAGGTCTGACAGACATGCCTGGGTACAGACTGCACTGTAGCCTCAGAGGATGTTAAGATTCTAGAACTTTCACAAGAGAATGGTTAGTCTACCTCCTTTTTTTTCTGTCCGTTCCTTTCATGTTGATAGGCACAGGCTAAAAATAGAAGTACATATTCTCCTCCCGTCTACACTAAAGTTCGGCTGGAGCCCAGGGTGATGCCACCAGGTAACCGATACCAGGCCTGGAGTCTGACTATACCAGGCTGTGGTGTCAGAGCACTTGGGGGTGACTATAGGGGCAGCCTGATGGGAACCACAAAAGGTAGAGGAGGGGGCACTGGAGAGATGACCCAGCAGTTAAGAGTGTTTACTGCTCTTCCAGATGGAGGACCCACATCAGGTGGCTCCTAACCGCCTATCACTCCAGTTCCAGGGGATCCAACACCCTCTGACCTTTTCAGGTGTCAGGCATGCGTGTGATGCACACACACACACACACCCCTTTTAATAAAAAGTTTCTGGGCTATGATCATGCACGCCTTTAATCCCAGCACTTGGGAGGCAGAAGCAGGCGGATCTTTGTGAGTTGAAGCCAGCCTGGTCTACAGAGCGAGTTCTAGGACAGCCAAGGCTACTCAAAAAAAAAAAAAAAAAGAAAGAAAAAGAAAAAAATTGGGGCTAAAGGGGTGGCTCGTTGGTTAAGAGACCATAACTGCTCTGTCAGGTTCTGAGTTCAGGCATCAGTACCCTCTTCTAGGGGCTCACAAACATCAGTAGCTGCAGTTCCACCCAGCTCTGGACTTCACGGGCACAACCACATAAATAAAAATAACCCTTTGGTGTTGGTTGGTTTTCAAGACAGGGTTTCCCTGTGTAGCTCTGGCTCTCCTGGAATGCACTTTGTAGACCAGGCTAGCTTCAAACTCAGAGATCCTTCTACTTCAGCCTCCCAAGTGGTGGGATTAAAGGCAAGGAATCCACCCCCACACCTGGCTCATGCTTTGTGTTTTAAAGTGGAGGAAGGAATCAGTCAGAAGAGGTGGCCTATGCATTTAGAAATCAGAGAAAGGAAGCCAGGCGGTGGTGGCGCACACCTTTAATCCCAGTACTCAAGAGGCAGAGGCAGGCAGATCTCTGTGAGTTTGAGGCCAGCCTGGTCTATAAGAGCTAGTTCCAGGACAGGCTCCAAAGCCACAGAGAAACCATGTCTCGAAAAACAAAAACAAAACAACAACAAAAAAAAAAAATCAGAGGGAGGATCACCCTAAGTTCAAGGCCAGTCTGGGCTACATAGGAATACTTTGTTTCAAAATAAAGTTTCAGGACGGCTGCTACTGCACTATGGAAGACACTGGCCGGAATCCTGGGATATCAGGGTGATGAGATCCTTACAGAAAGGGCTGTTCGGTTTCTATGGGATAGTTCTCAATTTATGGAATTCTAGCAACTAATACTTTTTGGAAATCATGCAAACAATCTAAACGCCAAACAAACAGGAAAACGCTGCCCTCCCAATGGTTCATAGCATAGGGGCAAAGCTTTGGGTGGGTAGACAGTCCCTGAGCAGACCAGAGCTACCTGGTGATGGTGTCTCCATGGCAACGACAGTAGCTCCTGGATTGGGACCAAGGCCTCATTTCTCAATGAAGATGTGGAAGGATGGGGGCCCAAAGCTTGCACCCTCCTCAGGAAGCTGCACCCATGAGCAACACAGCCTCATCCCAGGGCAGACATGTCTGTTGAAGGGTTAGTCAACAGTGTTGAGAATGGTTTAAATGTTGGTTTGTTTTTAATTTTAGCCATAATCAAAGCCAGGGATGGAAGGGCTGGGGCGAGGGGTGGAGGTTGTGGTTCAGATCCGGCAGGGCGCGGTTGAAGCTGGGCAGGGGCGGGACCAGGCCAGGCAGTGGTCACTTCTTCTTGCCTTTGGCCTTGCCCTTGGCTTTCTTCTCTTCTTTGCCCTTCTCCTTCTCCTTGCCCTTCCCTTTGTCTTTGCCTTTCCCCTTTCCGCGCTTCTTCTTCTTGGATCTGAGCATGGAGCGCACCAAGTAGCCCTTCCACACGGCCTGGATGAGCGTGGCGGCCCTTACCATGCGCACCATCTCGCGCTCTGCCTCCACCCGCTTCTTGGAGTTGATCTCACTCTCAGCGCGGATCTGGGCGAACTCCTCGACCAGCACTCCATGCCTCTCCTTCAGCTCCTCCAGCTGCAGCTTCTCCTCCTTGTGGATGCTCTCAAGGTCCTCGTATTCGTCCTAGGTGAGGGGCAGGGCTGGGGATGCAGCACCCGGCGTGGCTTCCCACGTTCCCTGTCTTCTGCCCCAGCCAGGTAAGATGCTGGGCCTGTCTGTACCTGGGCCACTCCAGGAAGGACCCAACTGAACAGATCTCGGGATGGAGGGAAGGACAAGGGCAGCAAGGTGTGCAAACCTAAGTGTGCGTGTGTTCTTGTTTAAGTGCACATGTGAATGCATGTGGTGCACGTGTGTGTGTGCCTGTACGTGCGTGTGCGTGTGGGTGCAGGCTAGAGGTCAACATCAGGTGTCCTCCTCAATCTCTCAACCTTACTTTTTTGAGACAGGCTCTTTCACTGAACTGGAACTTGCTGGTGTCACTGCACTGGCAAACTCCCAGAATCTGCTTGTCTCTGCCTCCTGGCACGGTGATTACAACTGTACACTGTGGCTTTCAGCTTCTTACATGGGTGCTGGTGATGGGAACTCAGGTCCTGGTGTTTCTGTTGGCAAACATCCTAGAAACTGAGCCAGATCCCCAGCCGCTGGCCCTAGCATTGAAGTCTAGATTCTCTGCACCTTTAGGAGATTTTCTTTTAAGCTCCTGGTTTTCCAGACAATTCCCAATAAATGCCAGTTTATGGGATCAAGTGACCTCCCTCCCGACATCAGTTTGAAAGGCCGCTCTCAGACACATGGGTTGGAGGCCTGGTCTCCAGCTAGGTGGCGCTGTTGAGAGGCGATTGAATCATGAAAGCGCCAACCTCATCCATGGGTTAACCAGCTGATGGTTAACATCAGGAGCGGGCTTTCCCAAACGAAGTAGTTTCTTGGGGGGTGGGCCCTTGAAAGGTATCTTCTCTTTGGTCTGTCTCTCCCTCCTCTTCTTCCTCCACCCTTCAACCGTCTTTTTCCTTCTCCTCGTTCAGCCACTCTGTGGTGAACATTCCTGCTCCCCTCTCTATGACGTTCTCTCCTCAGGCAGAAGGCTGTGGGGTCAGGTAACCATGAACTGTACTCTCCAAAACTTGGAGCCCAGACAAACTTTTCTACCCTTTCTCAGGTATTTTACCACAGAGCCAGGACACAGAGGATCTCACTCCACAGAGCCAGGACACAGAGGATCTCACTCCACAGAGCCAGGAAAAAGAGGATCTCACTCCACAGAGCCAG